ATTGATAGATGGCAGCACACCGCAAGCAATTCCTTTTTTCTGGGTATTGTAGTGAAATGATCTCCGCAGTGTCCGCACCAGCGCATTCTCAGATAAGCGTGGTGAGTGACGCCATGTGAGTGTTGTGCGTGGTGAACGAAGCGTTGTTGGTGCTATCGAAGTCGTTTGACGGAAAGAATTCTACTGATTGTCTTCAGCAGGGATGTTCAAAGAAACCATCTTGACGTTGAATATATCTCACTCGACGTGCGTGATTGTCGACGCGCTGATAGTGACAGCGACGATGAACGATCTGCTGCTAGCTCACAAGCAAAGAGTTTCAGTTCACGTCCCGTCGTCCGTTAATCTTTTTTCACGCTCGTAAGCCACTTTGATTGCATTTATTGTAGAATATTCTTCAGTGAGCTCAAAATAAAACCATACTTTTTTTCTGCATTGAATGTATTGCAATTACAGGGGATATTACATAGCGCCGCATGCCGCCAACACGCCCGAGCTCGACAGCGAAGCGAAATAGTTAGAACAATGAAAGATGCAGTTACGACTATACCCCACGCTAACTTCTCCTGCACTTCACCGGTGCCATCCGAACGACGTTGTTGTTCGAGAAATTTTCGCTTGTTGACGTTGCGAAAAGCATATGCGGGTCGATATCCATGTTTCGATCGCGCTGATGGTACCTGCAACAACCCCGTACAGGGAATTGCGCAGCTGTTAGACAAAGATCATGGCTGTGACACAAGCGCTACTTAATGAGAAGGTAAATGCTTGTGTTCCGTTGAAGAAGCAGCAACATGATGTTTACAGCGCAAGTAATGACGACGGCGTAATATGTTTGCAAACCATCGCTAGGTCAAACTGTTGGCTTATAATACTTTTGTCCGACTCATACTAGAGTACGGAAACATAGTATGGTTTCCTTTTACTAAGCAAGACATCGCTAAACTTGAAGGTGTACAAAGAAAGGCAATACAGTTCATTTTTAATAAGTATGGGCCACACGAATCTCCTACGGTGTTAATGGAAACTGCTGGTATAGATACTCTTCAGCGCCGAGCCAGAATAGCTAGACTGAAATTCATGTACTTAATAGTTCATAACAAAGTAACTATTGATGCCACGAACTTCATAACAAGATTACAAATCCGCTCTACCAGACATAACCATACGCAGATGCTCACTGAATACACCTTCTATACCGACTGTTTCAAAAACTCATTTTTTCCATTGGCCATAAGAGAATGGAATAACCTTCCCTTACATATCATAGAAAGCACATCACTAACACAGTTCTTAACTGCACTTGAAAGCGTACCTTGAACCCTGTCAGACAGTTTTTTTTTATTGATGTATGAAACTACACCTGTCACAGTTCTTCATGCATTGTCTCTCTAACTTTTTTCTTTTCAAATACCAGAAACCCCACAGCATGCATTTGTCGCCTCGCTCTAAAGCACCACTGTGTAAAAATGCTTACAAGATAGTCTCACAATGCTTTTTTCTTTTTTCTCTTTTTTTCCTTTTTTTCTTCCCTTGCCTACGGTTTTATTATGCGAGCCTGCTTTCTTTATATTATTGTGCCACTAATCGCTCATGAGTTGCACTTTTTTTATAATTAGTTGATGTTTCCATTGTATCACAATTTGTGTTATGTTGTATTCAACTATTGTATATGCCCTCCTGCTATGATCCCTTTGGGATTGGCAGTATTTACAAATAAATAAATAATAAATAAATAAATAAATAAACATTAGGTCTTGTGCAGCCGCGACGGCGTGCTACTCACTAGTGGCCTACTACTTCGGCAAATCCGCCACACAGGCTCGGCACTGCTGATCTCGGAGTGCCCTTCAGTTCATACGTGAATTCTAGTTCACGCATTTTTCCGTAGCGCGCATAGGACGACGCAAAGCATCGTTGATACACGGTTGATCAGCTGACACCACCACCCTTTGCACTGCGGCAAGAAGTGACGTAGCAAACAATCAGCATTTCCCCTCGATTGGGAAAGTGCTTTCGTTTGATATACATTCATTCGACAATAAAGAGTTCATCCAGTGAAAGCGGCGTGAGGAGTACGTCTGTGCGTCCTATCTTTTCTTATGCGAAATCGCGGGTTGATCATTCTTTCACAGCCATCTTGGATTGCACGTCGCGCAACCTATAGGCCGTGCGCATTGCGAATATGCAATGTGAGCTTACTGCTCAACACTTGCAAGACATATATTCGCACTTGACAGGCTCTACAAGCTCAGGCATTGGGAATTTCCCTGGCTGGCCAAAATGAGTGTCGACTGAAACAATTATTTTCATCGCATGAGACGAATCTATAAAGGCCCACAGGGCCAAGAAACCGTTAAGTGCTCATATGGGGTATTTTCCTGGACTCATTGCACTACCTTTCAATACTGTCTTAACAAAGACCACGGGCGTCATATTGTGTTAAAATTGCAAACTATATACTTCGCCCATCAATCTTCAGGCTTCAGCCCAGCATCTAAATTCACAATAACTACTTGGTAATTGATTCCACCTGCAATACACGTCATCGCGCAGGGAATCACGAACAAAATCTCGGCTCTTATCGCTAGTGCTGAAACAGTCATCTCTGTTTTTTTTTTTTGTTTTTTTGGCACCAGAGGTACGCTGGTCACATTCATGCTTTACTGATGTATCAGCCACTCTCCAGTGTTCGTTCAAAGCAGCGGTTGTGCGAGCAAAGGCTACTACCGTCAGCTTCAAGACCCCCCCTCCCCCTCCAGCGACATCGACGGCTGCAAAACTTTCCTCTCTTTACGCTATATTTTTTCTAGTCAATTACGAATAGCCTCAATGACGGGCAAATTTGAGTGACCCGAGTGCAGCCGTGCGGCAAGGAATGTACGAGCACTTGGCACTGGTCTTCAAGATTAGATATCTACTCCATCCTTCATTCGAGAATAGAAACCACGTGGCATTTCAGTAGCTACCTATTCATTGCAATGAAATAGGCAATGAACTAGCTGACAATGCTGATCAGTCTGCTCTTCACGGTGACAAACACGAGACAATACCACAGTCATCTCAAACTCATCTCACATGGCGAGCCTTAGTCATGAAATTCATTCCCACAAGCGCCGGGTCATTGTGCCATTTGAAAGAAATTATTTTCCATATACAATGAATAAGTACTTTCTGACGGGGATTTCATGTAATGTTTTAAAAAAACAGGTGTATATTTATTTTCACAGTAACTAAAATCTGGACGCCAATTATGGAAGCATCAGCACACCACGCGAGCTTTGATACCTCCGCGTGGTCTTTACCTCACGAGTGGATTACTTTTCAACAGGAGGTATCGCTCCGAAATGTTCGAGCGAATGCTGCTGTGACGCCTTCAATTAGCGTGACGTTGGGCTAGACGAACACAACCTCAAGGTGTCCATTTCACGCCGCACCAGTGCGCGAAGCACACCTGAACCACCTTGCCCCGCCGCGGTGGTCTAGTGGCTAAGCTACTCGGCTGCTGACCCGCTGGTCGCGGAATCGAATCCTGGCTGCGGCGGCTGCGTTTCCGATGGAGGTGGAAATGTTGTTGGCCTGTGTGTCAGATTTGGGTGCGCTTTAAGGGTATAAATTTCCAGAGCCCTCTACTATTGCGTCTCTCAGAATCATATGGTGGTTTGGGGACGTTAAACCCCACATATTAATCAAAACCTGAACCACATTTTATGAACATGCCCTGGGCTTCGAGCGGCTTGTTGACGCCATCTGCGGAGTGCGGGACTCTAGCACACCAGGCCGCCCGACGGGCAGCGGTAGATGTATACGGTGCAAACCACATGTTCCTCCTAAACTTCATAGACAAAACGAAGCAGCAGAGTTTTGTGCGATACGTATTGATTGCGTAGGGCAAACTTACGGAATAAAAAAAATAGTGATTGATCTGTGGGGTTTAATATAGATTGATATGTGGGGTTTAACGTCTCAAAACCACCATATGTTTATGAAAAACACTGTATGGGAGGACTCCGAAAATTTCGACGACCTGGGGTTCATTAACGTGCACCCAAATTTAGCACACGGGCCTACAGCATTTTCGCCTCCATCAAAATCTTAGCCGCCGCAGCCGGGATTTGATCCCGCGAGATGCGGGCCAGCAGCTGAGTACCTTAGCCACTAGACCAGCGCGGCGGGGTGGTCTAATGGCTTAGGTACTCCACGAAAATTAAAACCCAACAAAAATAAAATTGTGCTTAAGACCACACCCGCGTCTATAGGTACTACTACTACTCAAAAAAGTCACAAATCTTTATTCTTTGCGAAACCACGATTCGTATGCGACCCATGGACAGCGTATCTAAGACCACTGGAACACTCCTATAAAGAACTATCAAGGACATCTGATCGAATGCGATTTCATCAAGCGTGGCATGAGCGCTGAACACGCATGCTATCACACAAGGATTACCACAGTAAACAATATTGAGAGGTTTAACCTATGTTATCTGTAATTATCGCAGGCACTTGTTGCTGTAGCACTATATCTCACGCTTACCACAAGGAGAAGAAAACATAAAAAACGATAAATAGATTTTAAAAGTGATATGTTAACCACTCAATCGTGCACAAAATAGCGAAAATCAATGTTTAGCTTCACGATGAGCTGGCAGCATTCGTACCTGTTGCGCCAACAGAGACTCCAAACTGAGATAATATTTAGTGCAAATACTTGTTTGAAATACACGACGAATGTTATGCTGTGGATACTTTTTCATGTGCAGACGCCGCTAATTTCACTCGCAACTTTTTCATCGGCGTCTTCAAAATCTGAAGTTTGTGAAAGACGGTGCACATGCAAGTAGGTAGTACGCTGTGTGCAACACGGTGTGGCCTACTTTCTTTTTCTAAAAAGTGGAATATTATAATATAAGCTGTTTCAAATACTAGTCCAAATAATTAATCAGCTTCTCAGAGAAGTAAAATGCGTTTATAACAACAAAAATTTACGATTGTCGCAGGTTGACATGGTCCTAACGCAGCTTAACGCCATTAGCGCCGGAATCACCGCTCGACAGAACAAGGTGCGGTTCTTTTCGCCACAAGATGTTGACATCACTCGTGCCAACATGTTACTGTAAGTTCATATAATACTTGTAGTATAAGACTTTGGAAAGTGGTGTTCAGAAAGGCGGTCGGTGTTACGTTTTTAATCAACTGCCCCCTTTTAGCAGCACGTAATTAACATAACAGAACCGAGAGAAGTCCGTAATTATGGCGCTGCAAAGTATGACGCAGACTGAGGAGAAAAAAAAGAGAGAGAGATAGAGAGAACACTGGGTAACCCGTAAGCCGGCGCTTAATTTATTTCCTGGATGAACAGGCTTAGGTGCAAGATACAACATAGGAACACAGAGAAGGGCGGGGGGGGGGGGAATTACGTAATATAATAGTCGTGGACGAAATGTTAAAAAAGCATATCAACCTCCGTGTGAAGCAGTGCCACCAACACGTGCTATGAGTTACTTATGCGGCGATATGGTTGCCTTCAAAAGGTTATTTCCATCTGGAGAGAGGGTGATTAAGGGAGTGCTAATGTACACTTCACTGGTGTATTAAATTCTTGGGTGATTTCTTCTTTTCTGAAAAGCAGCGCCCCAGAACTATTGCGTCATGAAAAGTACATGCTCTGCAGCGTCTCTCATAATCATTTGGTGGTTTTGGGACGTTAAACACCACATATCAATCAAACTTACATTCTCCGTGGCCAGGAGTCACAAGTGATAAGCCGCAGTGAGAAGCCGTGAAGTGCCCTCGTGCATTCGTGCGCGCCCTACTTTGACAAGGATTACAAAACGAGCCACACCTTTGTATATACCCCGCCGCGGCGGTCTAGTGGCTAAGCTACTCGGCTGCTGACCCGCAGGTCGCGGGTTCGATTCCCGGCTGCGGCGGCTGCATTTCCGATGGAGGCGGAAATGTTGTAGGCCCGTGTACTCAGATTTGGGTGCACGTTAAAGAACCCCAGGTGGTCGAAATTTCCGGAGCCCTCCACTACGGCGTCTCTCATAATCAAATTGTGGTTTTGGGACGTTAAACCCCACAAATCAATCAATCAAACACCTTCGTACCTAATAGTGTTCTCAGCACTCAACTTGCATTGAAACGATTAAAGCACGAGCATCGCCTCATTAGCTTCAGTAACTGAGTTTCCTCAAACATGTAACGACGGAATGACACTCGCCTAGAGCAGTGGATTTGAAATACGAGCGCAATGCTTAGACAGCGACAGGAAAGACACGGACCTGCCTTTGTATCGGGCTCTTATTTCAAACCATCACGAATTGCGAACTCGCCCAAATAACCACTTAGAGCACTTGGATACTCAACATGGTTGATTGGGGAGCTGTCCGCAGCTGCTACTTCATGTTAGCTACAACTTTACAGTTACGCTTGAACTATATAGCAAAAGCGCCTTGCACGCCATATATATATATATATATATATATATATATATATATATATATATATATATATATATATATATATATATATATATATATATATATATATATATATATATTTATATATATATATATGTAGCATCGAACGCATTATTCGAAGGTCGTAGGTTTGATTTCTTCTCACGGCTGGTTATTTTTTCACCCACTTTTTTTTCTTAATATTTACATTCCATTTGTTCTAATAACTTCCCCTATATATTCTTTGGCATTATTGTCTGTTAGATCTCATTGATATTTGTCAAAACACGCAAAAACGAGCCCTTAGGTATACATCTCTTTCCCTTAATCATTAACGAAGGTCTCGTACTGGCAGACTTTCTGTCATTAGGTTGTATACGAGGGTCTATTGCCAGCTGCCTGCTCGTAATAAGTTCACGTGCTACGTGACGCCACACAGGCTCATAAAATGGTGTTTCACACTGGCCGCTTGGCTACAGGTGGAGCTGACTGACACTCCCAAATTTAAATTCACATATAAACCCCAAAAAGTGTGTCGGGGGAAGGCCGCTGTGATAGCTCAGTGGTTATAGCATCGAACACGTTTTTCCAAGGTTGTAGGTTCGATTCCTGCTCACGGCTGGTTATTTTTTCACCCACTTTTCTCTCTCCTTATTTACATTACATTTGTTCTAATAACTTCCCCTATACATTCCTTGGCATTATTGTCTGTTAGATCTCGTTATTATTGTGTCAAAACATGAAAAAACGAGCCCTTAGGTATACACCTCTTTCCCTTATATATATATATATATATATATATATATATATATATATATATATATATATATATATATGTGTGTGTGTGTGTTAGGTATAATAACAGCATCGCTAAGCGCATACTTCTTTTTACATGCAACGGCAGCTAATGATGTCGGCTCGGTGCTCCAGAACCGTTTGATTCTGCCTGTACATCTCTGAAGGAAAAAAATCTGCTCCGACAAATACACGTGAGCGCCAGTTCTAATTTGAATTATTTATAGCATGCGACTGTGTTGTGGATATTTAGTAATACAACGTGGTAATCAAAACGATCACAACTTTAGTCATTTGTACATGCTCCATAGTTTTGGCACGTTCCCGAGGTTATTAACAGCAGGTTAGGCTATGGAAATGTACACACCATAATGTTTTGAAATCATATTCTATGCAAATACGCCATGAGCTACACTGTTTGCTACGTGTGCTTCCGCGACCGTGGTATACAGGTGAAGGCGGTGGACCCGAAGTTGAAGGAATCAAATCCCAGACGTGGCGGCCGCATTTCAATAAAAGCGAAGATTCGGGAGCCCCATGCACTTAGGTGCACGTTAAAGAATCCCCAGATGATTGAAGTTTCTCGAGAACTTCTTGACTGAAAATGCGATGTGTGATAAAGCAGTTTTGGGTTTTCACGAGTGCCACAGCTGAATTACTCACTGTAGAGAAACAGCTGACTGCAAGGCCTTCAGCCTATACTTAGGAAAAATTGGTTTGAATTGATGATCTTATGAAAAAGATTGTTATCATTTGTCTTTGTCTGATGAGCACAAACTGGATAAAGTATTTTTTGGTACGCACAGTAATGCGGTATATTGCTCTATTTCCTGAGTTTTTTAATGAGAATATTATCACGTATTGTCACATTATGGAGGACGCCATAGTGCACGTAAATCGGTTGTGTAACTGCTACTGTTTCTTTTGTAGCAACATATTCCGTAGAACTTCTAATATTGCACGGGTGTTACCGCATTGCATGCAAGTACACTTCGCTTATACTTCTCGACATGGTTCTCTCAAGTTGGTGTACTGAAAGCGTGCTTCACCGATAGTATTTACCTAATCAGTACTTCGTTTAAATGTCGACCCTTGCAACGACAACGCTAATTAAACCTTCATTTCCTTATACAACCTCGCTGTGAAGCCTTGCCCACGGTTGGGCTGATAAGTGTAATAACATTTTTAATAATAATAATATTATTATTATTAACAATAATAATACACAAATTATATTATAATAGTTATATTATTACCATCACGATTAAAATAATAATTTTGAGTATTGAATCAATGTTACTTTTTATTATTATTCAATTCTTATTGCAAGGACCACAGTAGCTGCGGGTTGCAAGGACGCAGAAAACACGCTTGCCTATCAAACGCCGGAGTATCACGCTCGCCACAGCAAGCGCGAAGTCTTGAGATAACTCGTGGTTTGAGATACGCCACGTTTCGAAGGGAGCAGCCCCGTAACGCGCCTGTCTTGCACATTCTCTCGTTGCTTGGCGCCGCGGCTGCAGCTGTATTTGGTCTACAGAACCGCTATCGGTCGTGCAAGGCCAAAGAAAGTAAACAAACAAAAGTGGGGAAACGGCTGGCCCAGTGACTGAAGCAGCGCAAACAATGCTGCAAGATTATGATTCCGGAAACCCATCACACATATAGCGCGCGATTTTAACGCGATAGTGTTGGAAAGCTCGTGTAGCAGAAATCCCGGCGTCGGCGTCGGTTCCATTGGTTGTGAGCGAAAAATCGTCTCTGTGTCTGTGAGCGAAAAAGCTAGTTACAGATCGCCGTGGGAGGCCACTACTTGTTCACGCGTGCGAACGTGATCACACTGCAACAGCCACGCATTCGAAGACAAAAAGTGCTCAAGGTCACGAGGCGCGGTAGTTTCTTTGCCACTGCCACCCCTAATTGCTTAGCTTCCAGTGCTTTCATCGGGACGAGAGAAGAGATAGTGCAATTGCACCATCCGACAAACCTTTGTAACTCCACTCGCACTGGATGGATTCTTAATATTTTGCGGCGTTGAATTCGTGAGGCAATAAGCTCTTCTAGTGAAGTCCTTCCATGGTTACTTGAAAAAGTGTTTCAGGGCCCCTTTAACGCGTTTTGTTGACAGGTGTCACAATGAAAACGAGCCCGTTCAGTGATTTGTAGGCGCATTAGGGAAACATCAAACTCCATTGAAAAAGGCCCAGATAGTGCAGCCATCGCCGCTAAAAACACACAGGATCTTTTCAACAGCTCTAAAAATGTACAACTATGTCGATATAGCAGAAAATATATCATTCCTTTTCAGAGGCCTTGATCAAGGAAACAGCAAACGCTAGATAATGTGCTGCTATCTGTGAGGCATTGTGAGACTCTTTATGGCCTCCGAGATGGCGAGCGCGCACCGTCTATCTTGGAGGCCATGTAACTCTTGCTCTAGATCAAAAACATGTATGTACCATTCGCGTGCGCGGGCTGGTACGATCTACTGTGCGTGTGCGTGTGTGTGTGTATAGCAAAACATAATATTAAGTATACAATTAGTGGTTGAAGGCGCACCAGGGGCTGGAGCTTGCTATCGCGTTTAACTCTTAAAGGCGAAGCTTAAGGATCCCCCAATTTTTCGTCGCTTCTTTTTATTTTTGTTCTGCATAGTTGCTCCACAAACACCTCTTCTGACGGCCAATAAACTAGTAGCCACGCCCATAAGCGAGTACCAAAAATGCAAAACAGGCAAGAATCATTGGGGCAGTGCATGCTCACATGTGGCCCATTTCAGACCACGTGTTATCTGTTGATGTCGCCCGAAAAGCCCCTAAAACGGCCTTCCGGCGTCCTGAAGAAGCGTGTTTAACTCTCT